AGGGAGAGAGAGAGGGGGGTGGAGAGGGAAAAAGCAGGGCGTGAAGTTGATAAAGTTGCAGAAACCAGTAGCAAAACAAAGACTGGGACAGTGTGGTGCCACCACCGACACTATTATGTCATTTAGGAGGCGAGCTGCTTTGACCGCAGCCTGAGAGAGGTACAAAAGCCCTACACACAGACGAATATACCCAATAAGATTATGCCCCCTCCCCCACCCGGTAATCAAACCCAAAACCTTAAGTTCACATAAATCCAAATTGTTGGAGTTGAATTTTAATATCTTGCTTCGGGGCTCTTGCTGTACAAACTCATATTTCAATACGGACATGATTTAACACTTTGGATAAGCATAAAAAAAGTAATTCCTATCGTTCTATTGAAAAGGGTAGGTCGGCATCCCCTCCCCCTCCCCCAACCAGAACGTTATAAATGCAAGAATCGAAGTGCTGGATAAACGTTTCTCATCCTGTATCGATGTTATAATCTTCAAGCTATCTCTATTACTTCGTAGCAGTTTTGGGGCTTAGTAATAACCCTATTCCCAAAGGATAGCCTGTGGCGATGTTTTGTGAAGATTGCCATGGGGTGGATGACCTGTTTCTACACCCTTTTGTGCCTTTTTCCAATAGGTGAGGAGGGTCACAAAAAGGTTTGTTTGTGTGCTCTTTGATTTATCATCACTCACTCCTCAGAAATTCTTGGGCAATTTCATTAGTATAGTATTGTCTGTGTCGTAAAACGCTTATCAAAATTTAACTTAGAATTTTTTATATGGCTTGTCACCGAGTGGTGAGGGTGGTAGTGAGTCATTGCACGTATTGTTGTGTGCTCTTTTCCTTGTAACTATAATCGCAGATTTGTAATGAGAATGTATGGAGTACGTATTACACAGCAATTGGCATTGACTACTGGGAAAGATTCCTTGATGGATATCGTGACGCAATCAAAATCAGGCTTTCGGGAGAGAAGAGTATTGCATCTACTAAAAACGATTTCAGATATTATGAATCTATGGTTATTCGTATCACTCCTAAGCTGAAATATTATTATCATTATTATTATTACATAACTACAGCGAGACCATTAAAATCAGGCAGCGCATTTTAGAGAAAACGTAATCAGTTGCAAAAACCAGTCAGCTTACGTTATTCAGTGAAAAAATTGTGTTTGTGTGTGTCTGCATGTGTGCATGTGTGTCTGCGTAAGAGAGAGAGAGAGGGAGAGAGAGAGAGAGAGAGAGAGAGAGAGAGAGCGAGAGAGCGAGAGAGAGAGAGTACAAGTGTGTGTATGTGTG